AGCCCTTGTGCCGCATGTGACCATTCCGCCTCCTCTGGCTTCTCTCACGCCAATGGCCTGGAAGGGATTTTGCAGATTTAAGGTCAGGCGGCCACACAGACAAACACGAACTGGGCTAAGCCGCCTGGATGACTCCTTTAACACCCTGAGGGCCAGACATGCCAAACCTGCGAAAAAACGCAGAAATTGGGCTTGGTTTTGGCTTAATCGTGAGTTGCTTGTTGGCTAGTTTTTGCTTGTAGCTTGTTGTAACTTGTTGCTTCTTTTTTTTTGATTGGCTCCCGGTAAGCAGGGGCAAGGGGGGGAGAGAGTCAGGGGCGCACAGCAGGCCCACCACAGTCCCAGACTGCACAGTGGGGGGACCTAGTCACATAGGGTGTTGGGTTCTTAGGGACTGGCTTGTTCTGGCCTTGTTTTGAAATGGGATTAGCTTGATTTTTGCTTATTGTGAAAGACGCGGTGCTTATTTACCGTGTGAAAGTTGGCAACTGTGCTTGAGGGCCAGCCAGTGTTAATGACACTCCTTCCCCTGGGTCCTGGCTGCACCGCACCCGGGGAGTCTGGGAGGGACTGTGCCTCCTCCTCCCAGAACTCCCTGGTGCACAGGGGACTATGCAATCTGCACCTTCCCTTAGCAGTGTAGCCTGCTCCCCTCAGCAGGCCTGCCAGGGATTGGGGGTGCATGGAGGGAGCAGTCCCTGTGCTCCCCTGAGCTCATGGACTAATATTGACCTACCCTTTGCCGGGGGTGGCAGTGCTCTCCCCAGTCACCCACACAAAAGCAAGGCACAGTCTGGCCCAGAACATCCCACCTGAAGGGAACCTCCACCAACCCCCACAGAGCATCCAACCCCCAGACAGGCCTGCAGCCCCCAAGCCGCATCCAGCCGCACAGAGCCTGCAGCCCACAGAGACCAGTCAAGCCACACACAGCGTTTGACCCAGATGGAGTCTGACCCAGTCTGAGCATCTGAAACACACAAAGGATCAAACCCATCGGGAGCCTCCAACCCAGACCGACTGCCTCTGCCTAACCTCCCTGGGCCAGTCTGGCTCCCCTCCTCCTGCCACCCAGGTGTTTCTGACCTACTGAGAGTGTTCGGTGGATGCAGCTTCACATTCCAGACCCAGAGCGTGCTCTGTGTGAGGGTTTGAACATTTCCTGTTCTGTTCCTGTCAGAGGGTGGTGATGGACGGCAGGAGAGAGATCACTTGATGATTCCCTGTTCTGCTCACTCCCTCTGGAGCACCTGTCATTGGCCACTGTCGGTAGACAGGATACTGGGCTGGATGGACCTTCGCTCTGACCCCAAACGGCCATTCTTATGTTCTTATGGGAGGTCTCTACGACACACAGTTTGGAGCTGTAATGCAGACGGCAGGGAAGAGGGATAACCCGATACAGCCAGGACAACAGGACCAGCCTCAACCACCTGACCCTTGTGTGATGCCCAGTGGTAGCCTCTCAAAGTACACAGGGAAAACCAACATAGAAAGATTTGCTCAGAGCCAGTTTTACAGCAGCTGGTAGAGGACATACAGGGCTTAATCCAAGGCCCATTAAAGCCAGTGGAGAGATTCCCATTGACTTCAGTGGGCTTTGGGTCAGCCCAGGCAGGATAGAAATAGGTAATGACTGGGATAGAGGGTGGTCTTGAAACATCCTGATCGTGTCTGAGAACTGTACACTCATAACCTGGGAAAATGCAAACTGTGAGTCCTCTACATTTCTGTGACCATTTCTTTTCAGACTCAGACATAAGCTTTGGTGTGGGAATAAACAGTGAGCGACCACCAGGTTTGTGTGTGTGAGAGAGATCCGCCCTCCTACGCAAACCTGGTGTGAATGTCCGCTCCACACATACCTGGTACAAACTCCCTGTGCATTGCTCTGGTGCAATGTGAGAGCAGAAGAGGTTCCTGTTGCTTGAGTGGCTTAGTGAGAAACCAAGACTCTCTTTTGGGTGTGTGGCTTCACACTTCATTCTGCAGGGGAAGCAAAGGGGGTGGAGGTGTCAGCACATCTCCCCCAGCAACAGCTCCCGCGCCTCACCACCAGAGCAAGAGGTCTCTGCAGAACCTGCCTCCGCTCTGCCTGGTTTCCTACTTCCTACGGCTCTGAGCTGTTCATGCCTTAGAAGGTGCAATGCTGTCCCTGCTTGTGATGATGTGGCAACATCTGGGGGCTACCACAAGAGATCATAGTGCTGTGCAAAGGTGTGATTCCATACCACTCCGTACCAGCTCTTCTTGAGCAGCCACATGCATCGCTGCAGAATTTCACTTTTAGTTAAACTTACAGCCCCTGTGGGCGGGAAGAAAATCTCTAAACAGGACCCGCTGCAGCACTGTCCTGAGTCCGCAGACAATAGATTGAAACCGTGCCAGATTGTGATCTCAGTAGCACTGTGAATAACTCCACCAAAGTCAACGAAAGGCAGTTGAGTTACTCCACATTGTTAGTGTAACTGAGATCAGAACGTGGGCAGGGGGGCGTCAGAGAACCGTGAGCTATGTGGAACTGTGTGTAGTGTTTGGGGATAGGGGCAGAGCCCGAGTAAAACACCAGCACTATTTCTGACCCATGGTGAGTAGAAGTTATTGAGACTGGGGTGATTTAGGAAAATAACAACTGGCTTTCTTGGGGATTTAGCTGAACTGAGCTGAAAGGCCATAGGCCAGCTGTGGAGAGAGACTCTTCTCCAAGCTGGAGAGAGACATTTCAGATCAGAAATGCAGGTATGTGAAGCTGGGCGTATCCAGCACTGTGACAGTGTGAAAGGCATCTGTCCCCGGAGCATTCCCAACTCCCTGCGCCACAGATTGATTTCCTTGGGGTCCCTAGTTTGGGTCTTTGTCATGTAGTGTTAATGTCAGTGCCACACGTTGTGACGTTGCACTCCATATGCTTTATGAAAATATCCTTATAAATGTGAATATGATGTAACTGGATTATGCTTTATGCAAAAGGTCTCTTGTAAGGTATCATTACAAAGCTTATCATCCCTGGGGGAATGGCAAAGAGGAAGATGGCAGAGTTTGGTACAATACAATCAGAGACGGGGAGGGAAGAGAGGGACCTCAGACCCTTCTCACTGCAGGGCATGGGCCTCAACAACAAAGGCCAACTGGACATTTCACAGCAATATTGTAGGGGCCTGAGGAATACTGTATTCATGTCCCATAGACGCGCTCCACTTAAAGGTCAGTTTCACCCAACCACACAACTTTCATCAGTACATTTATTACATGCCAGAGTCACACCACTGAAGAAAAGGGGTGTTTGCTGGAGACATTTGTGTTACACGCGTCGGAGGGGAATACATTCACGGTGCCTGAAGCATGGCATACACAGTGTCCATTCCTGGGTCACTGCTCCCCGCTCTGGACTCCTTCTCTGTCACTGGCTCGCCAGAGTGAGTGCTCCCCCCTGGAGAGGACACCATCTGAGAACAAGCAGAACCCCAGATCAGCACAGGGAACAGTGACATTCTCTGAGCTGGGAACCTCAGCCCAAGGCAGAAGAGGCTGAGATGAAGTGAATGAGGCAGCTCCATGTATCAGCCACAGTGAGAGCGGGGCCCGAAGGCTGGGTTGCACCACAGCCCCCACAACTGCAGCGGCTCTTCCAGTGTCTGAGCTGCAATAGCAGCCGCAGCCTCTCCACACCAGCTGCAGGGACTCCCGGGCCCCTGGATTCATGTAAACATGAACCTGTGTCACCTTCCCCTGCCCTCCAAAAACGTGGCCTTCCAGGCTGGCCTGGGCAGAGCCAGTTCAGAGATCTGTCTCATGGCGCATAGCGCTGGGTAGACACCCCCCATGGCCATCCCAGTGGATCCCCTGCTCAGTCCCTGTGTGGGGCTTAGAAGGTGCAGAGGCTTTGCACAAGCCCTCTGCACTGGGGTGAATTTCACTCCGTGACCTGGGGCAAGTCAGCTTATGCCTCAGTTTACTCATCGGTAACTATAGGAGAGGAATATCCACCTACCTCGCAGCATACGGTGAGGTTTGTAAAGCACTTAAAAAGCCGCAGATGCTACAGAAGTACAAAAAGTTACTGCTCTCATCATCTACATTAGTTATCAGAGTGACTCCGCTGGGACTGGAATGACATCTGAGCACTTTCAGCACAGAGATCAGCACTTACGCTGGACTTGCTCCACTGCAGTTTTGAATAGATCATTTCACTGCCGACGGGCTGTGTAAAGAACTCTCTCCGGGCAGGGGCAGAGGTGCTGCAAATGGGATCGGACATTTCCAGAGAAACTTCTGGTTTCTTGGCCTGGATTCGGCACTTTACTAATATAAAATACAGAAGGACACATGCATATTATGGAATGATCTGGAAATATCTACTGCAGGCCTGAGGGGAAAGACTGAATTCTACCTCGGTGTCTCTATTTATAGGCTGCGTTCTGGCTTTGTAGGGGCTTTCAATATTTTTCTTCGGTTAATTTATTTTACACCAAAAGGGCCTGATCTAAAACCCCCTTGCAATTAAAGGGAAACTTTCCATTGACTTCAGTTGGCTCTCGATCGGGCTTTAGCAGCTGAGGGGCCATACGCTGACTCTATCCACGCTCGCAACTCCCGTTAACATCACTGGAAATTCTGCCTCTAGTGTGGAAACGTATAGATGAGACCTTGCACTGGAGATATAAAGAGTGTGGAGATTTGGTGACCTTCTCTAGCTGTTAGGTATTAGAACAGGGGTGGCCAAACGGTGGTTCGCGAGGCACATGCAGCTCTTTTGCAGTTAAAGTCTGGCTCCCGGAGCCCACCATGCCCCCCATTCTCCACCTAACAGACTGGTGTGTGGGGGAGCTCAGAGCTTCTGCCCTCGGATGGGGCGGTGGGACTCGGGGCTTCAGCCCCATGGGGCATGCCTGCCAGGGCATTGAGCCTTGGCAGGTGCCTCCCAGGGTACTGAAGTCTGAAGCCCCAGCACCCTGCTGCAGGGCTGAAGCCCTGAGCCCCGGCAGGCACGCCCGGCTCTCAGGTTATGAAGATTATCGTATGCAGCTCAGAGGGTAAGTTTGGCCATCCCTGTATTAGAACATGACTGCTTTGTGCATGCACCAATCACGCGCTGTCATAATTAAGAGGTTTCTTATCTTCTCATTCTTTGCTTTGAACTTAAAGAATGTTACAGCCTTGTCAATAAAGAAGAGAAATAGCATGGAGCCATGTACGAATTTAGGAAAGACATCCTGAACTGGTCATTTCCCAGAAGATTTGCTGTACCTCACTGAGCCAACAACAGTAACTAAGATCACTTAAAACAAACCATAGCTGCAACGTGTAAGATGATGCCTAAAGAGAGGCAGGGGACATTGTTTGCACTTCTTTACTAGCAACTACTTACATGTAAAATACAAGCCCAAAGCAAGGAAGAACAGAAGTAGCCCAGCAGTCAGACTGGAGATCAGCAGAACATTCCCTCGGGGGGCTATAAAGGAGAACAAATAATATTTGTGAAAAGTCAAAAAAGGAAAAGAAAACTGAATCCCTTCCATTCGCTCCTGTCCAAAGCCTCGGGCGATATTGCCCCTTCAATTAAGGATGAGAAAGGCACTCAGATACTATCATATCAGACCCTGAATAGACTAGAAAGACAACTCCAGTAAACATGCAGGATCGCAGCAAGTCTCCCAACCAAACCATACGTAACATTCCTGGTATTTCAAAAGTAAAGCACAAGCCGAAAGCCCCTTACAAAAGTCCTTCTTCGTACATGTTAAAAGAGAGAAAAGACAAACCCCACAAACCCACTGTTGAAACTGTCCTTGGCAGGTCACCTTGACATAGACGCTTATCCTTTTTTGGCACTGTTCCAAGACTGAACAGAGCAAGTCCTAACCTCAAAACAATGTGATTTTCACTCCCTGTTCACATATTTACCAGCACAATCCGCTGTGAATCAGAATTACCTCATCATAAATTCAGCCTGCTACCTTCATAACTTCATCCCTTGTCCACAGATTTGTTACACGGTAAATGCAGTGAGGATTGTCTCAGGACAACCTTTGTTAGTTGGTATCACACGTTACTTACTGTTACCTAACGGAATTGTAACACTAGCTCCATATCACCAGTAATCAGCAATACTAATCAGCCACCGATAAGTCATCTCACCAGCAGTAAACAGCCTCAGATACCCAACATTAATAGCAGACACTTAGGTCGGTATCTGTGTGAACAAGCGGCGTGTGTTTGTGGTTTTGTAGATGCTTTAAGTTTTTCCGTTGATTGATCCCCAGCTCTTTTTCTTGATAGCAATCACTGGACTTGCAAAACCCAACCTCGCTGCACTTCAAAGGGTTTCTCTTCTCAGCCAGGCACCATGAGCAATGCTATTCTACAGCCACGCCGTGTGAATACTGCAAAGCTTTGAGAAGCGTTTCCGGTTGGGCTAAAGGCACCGGCCAGGCAGTCTGTGTGGACGGGAACTCCGTGCTGTTTCGTTGCTAAAATGGAGATTGTTTTTGGCCCTGCCCTCTTGCCTGCCAAAAAATAGCCACTTAGCAAGCAATGGCCCATCGGCCTTGTTTACACCTGGCTGAGGCATCAGCTTACTTTTTTGTTTCCCTTCCTGCTGATGACTCTGTTTATAGCTTAAATGCAAATTAGGCAGAGCACACATTCCTTGGTTTGAGGACAGACCAGTTTGCCAGCTTCTGTTTGGGCAGGGCTGTGGTTTGGAACGTGCGTTACCACCACCACACAGGGACATCTTATAACTTCACAGTGTTGCTGCACATATTTTACCAGCACAATGTGGACCAGCCAATTATGAGTTTTCAAATGATACCTTATAAGACATACCTTGTACAAAGATTATTACAATAGTGTGTGGGAGCTGGACACAGGGGTACATTCTATCACAGAGAGTGACTGGTTTCTTGGGACTGAGTGTAACCTGAATATGTTGTGATTTTTGGTGGAAGCTGGGCATAATTTTGCAGGGCAAGGGGGGGCATTGCCCCCCAAACTGCAAGCCTTGGACAGTTGCTGAATTTGCCCCTCCCCACTCCCCCCACACACACGGTCCCGTTGGCCTGACTGGAGCTACCCCCTCAAATATAGAAGTCAAACTATGCCTATGGGTGTAAGTGACCATTTATCATATAGTCCAGCTTGCCTGGGTGGCAAGATAGACTGGAGAGTCTAAACCTTAGACTCTAAGGGGACGGACAGTGACTCCCTGGTAAAACTGTTACAGTGATCTAGGAGTTCTCATTTGTTACTCACTTGGTGAAATCTAATTATAGAACATACCACCCGTTTGGGGTGTCTGCCCTGTTTTTGACAGTCGGCCCGGAGGTAGGCACTCACAGTCGTGAGCTGTCGTGAGCCACTCCAAACAGTGTGACAACAATATCACTGTCCCTACTTCTTCAGACACACAACTGAGTGTCTGTATTTTAAAAGTGCACTGATGCTTTTCTAAAATATCCAAAGAGGGTAAAGAGCAAAGGTTTTGCTAATATGTAAAAAACAAGCAAATCCTTTGCAGTTTTCTTGTGCAATGAATCTGAATTCTCAGTTCTTAATTGTTCTACACAATCCAGTTCCTGATGCATTAAACTATGAACATTCATCCAAAACAATTAATTTAATATAAAAATATGCTTAAAGAACAAGGGAAATGAGAGAGAGAGAAATAAGATGAACATCTTACAACAATCCACAGCAAATGCAATGTTGTAGGGATACTGCTAATGCTGTAATTATTCTTGTAGTCCTAGGGTATATCAAATATATTTGATGATAATAACGACTATACCCATCCTGAATTAATAGATCTAACAATGTAACTAGATTCCAGAAAATAGACCTTGTTCCAGTTATTAAAAAAAATACAATGCGATATTAGAAAAATCAACAGATTTCTGTAGGCCATTTGTTTTTAGACTAATATAGTTATTCTGTTATAAAAGCAACTTTAAAATTCCGTAACTGTGGACTACATTTTTATTTTTTCAATTTGATTACTATTTTATAATTGTCCATTAAAATAGTCTAAGATATTATTATAAATAACACAGATCAGGAACCCTTTTTTTTAAATAAGTTTTTTTATTATGGCAATATTCCTCAATTTTGTGTTTAGATTTAGCACTGCTAAATTAGCAGAAAATTTTTGAAAACAGAGTACGGTTCTGTATAATAGTACAGGGGAGGCAAATAATTACTCTGTCTCATAAATTCAAGGAAGGAAATACAGTAGGTATAATAACTAGAATTTATAGTATAATTTTTGCCTTAGGGATGGAAAGTATCTACTAGAAAGTCTAAAATTGCTATAAAATATGTCAATTTTGCCTTTTTCGTCAAAATTTGCAAATTCATTCACAGAAAATATATTCAAGAAGCTATGTACATATATGATTTATTTTATTTTTTTTGTAAGCAAACTGCAAATTTTTCTCCCCAATCCTCAACTACAGAGGTTATTATGGAGCCATCTCACACTATAAAATATATATGTATTTTAAATCAAGCCAATGTAATGTCACAAACTTGTCTTGGATCATATTAAGCTCAGAGTTCCAGATAGTCCACGCACGGTGTGACATATTTAGGAGAATTACAACCAACGTACAATTTCACAGCACCAGAGAGGGTGAAATGTAAGTGATATCATTGGTTTGATAAATAAGCTAATGTTCCGTGTAATGTTCAAATAAAGTGATGCAATGGAAATATTGACAAGGAAATTGTGATAGTTGAAATATAATTGCATGGTCATATGTTGAAGAACCTTTTAAACAAGTCATAAACATGCTTGCATCATAAGTCTTATTTCATAGGAAGCAAGAGAGCTAAGATTTCTCATACACACGCAACAGTGTCTGACAGAGAGAAAGAAATAGGAGAGACAGAAAAAGAGAGACACTCACCCGTGACAATGAGACAAGTCCCGTTTGTTTTTGATTTAACATGGTCTGGCACTGTGTTCACTTCGCAGTAATACAGGCCGCTGTCATTCACCCGCACCTCGGGGATGACGAGAGAGCTGGTGTTCTTTTCAAAGTCTAAATGACCCCTAAAATGGCCTTCAGTGACTGAGACAGGGACGCTGGAATTGGGACGAGTCATTCTAAAGGGAAGGATCCTCTTGGACACATTTTTATGGGTCATATTATACATCCAGATTATCTCGTAGAATGGATCGCCAACAGCAGGGGATCCATCAAAGGAACACTCAAAGGAGACGGGTTCCCCTTCAGTTACCAAGATCGGTGGAGGGTTTTCCCCAGAACCTAAAAGGGAAAAGTGTAATTAAAAGCAGGTGTCTCCGCAAACTCTGGACCTTGCTGTTTTGTAGGGAATGACTTCAATTAGTTCAACCTACTTCCATTTTATTTGCTGTTAGTGGTTTTGTGTGTGTGTGTGAATGTAGCACTGGTGACAGATTGACACCTTGGAGAATTAATTTCTCTGTTTAGCCACTGATCAGACACAGCATAGACAAGTCTCCAGTGTTACAAGCTTCCACCACATTGTCCAGCAATATGCCTCATTGCTGACCTTGACTTTAATCCCTGTGGAGTCCTTGGGGATTCATCATTGTTACATTTCTGTTACTGTGTATGATGTGATGGGGTTTTGTGTTTTTCTATCCATTGAGTTAATTGTACAATCAGATACTATTGGGAACACCACCTCCATCTGATGCTGTGTGTGCCTTCTGTTCAATAAAGTAATCTTATTTAGACTGAACATAACTTTATAGGATAGGCAATATAAATGCCCTAGGCTTTCATTCATCTCAGGGGAACTGTCAAGGATTTTGCAAATGTTCTTTCTTACATTTTTCGATAGCAATAAAATCTAGTTTGATACATAACAATGCCCCCAATTTTTAACCTGTTCCCCCAAATATTTAATGCTACGAAGATAATATTTCCTTATCAATTATATTACTCAATTTACTTTTATAATAAATTCCAAGAACTAATTATTTAATCTCATCATTATACAGAGCCCAAAAGAAAATATGACTGGAAAAAAATCTAATTAAATTCAATTAAATTGTTTCTTTGTATATAGGAAAAGGGATTTTTTTCCATTTCAAAGCAACTGGGTCCCATCTACTTTCCATGTTAATTCTCCAATATTGCAATCATGAGTTATATTTGAATGCTAAAGCATAATTACATAGACATTGTGATATATATTTTTTCATTTGAACACAGTTCAGAAGAAAACTACACCTGCTATTCATCACAAAAGCATTTTTATTCACTCATTTTTCCATCTATATAAAAGCAGGTACTCTTTTTGGTGAGTATCTCATTGCTAATCTGGATTCAGCACAGTTTGTATATCAAGTTCCATAAAAAAACAAAACCCAAAAAGAATAATTCTCCTTTGATGTACCAGAAATATTGTAATTCAAACAACGTATAAAGATTGTCAGCAAGAAAACACAGCCCTAATTAACAGAGCTAGACCTAGCCCACAAAATTCAATTCAAACCCAGATTTCAAGCCCTTTAGAGATCTGGAGGTGTTTGGATCTGGGGGTTTGGTTCGGCTCATTAGAGGAATGGGCCAGATCCATGTTTGGATTCTGAGTTTCTCCAAGTTCAGGGCAGTTCTGATCTGGGTTTGGGGTTCAGGCTCATCTTTAATATTTCATCTTTCCATTTTCCAATCTCAACCACCCCAACCCCAGTACTGCAGGTTTACATCTGTCTCTTCCACTGAGCAAACTTTCCAAACGCCCAAGGCAGGAGAATACCTAAGTGGTGCGACTCTGCTTACCTAGGGAAAGGAACACTTCCGGCAAGAAGGAGAGCACCAACACAGAAACGAGAAGAGCCATGTTTATCCCATGTCCTCTTGTCTCTCTCTCTATCTCCAAAGCCTCATGTTGCTCGTAGAGTCTGCAGACACCATTAATTGACAGTAGAGGCTGCAACCTGGGCGTGCGTCTGAATAGGAAAGAGAAAAAATCTCTCACCTCACCCAGGGACGTAGTCTGCAGTGTGCATACGACGAAACAGTGTGATAAGTAACCCTAATAATAACCCTGCTCTGCCCCCACGGCCTTGCAGTGAAGACAGCCCAAAGCACATGCTTCAGAGGAGACGTGTCCCACATCAATGCAACCCCAGCACATTGACCTTTTCAAGAAATAACAACAGGGGAGAGTGGATAATGGAAAGAAGATGATCAGAGAAATTAATTGCCAAACTGAAATTACCTGGATGGAAATTTCCTTGTGCTGCTTCCCCTGGAGGAGGAGAACTCCCAGTTCCCTGACGGAACCCCATATTAAAAAGGACATTTTCTGCTGGAGAGTTTCCTTCCCCCTCACACTTTGACTCTTGACTCTTCCTCACCTCACAATCCCTCATCACCACTGTCCATAATGTTCAACTTTTACACTGTCCCATCTCACCCAGCAGCCTCACCCTCACTGCCTCCCTTGGCCTCCAACCCCAGATCAGCTCACCTCTCATCCCTCAGGCCTTCCTACACCTAGGCAGCAAGTGTTGGAGTTCTGCTCTGGAGCGAGCGGGCTGGGAGCCTTGTCCTAGGTAGCAGGCGATATTCTTATCACACTTCAAGCTGAAAGCCCCTATTTTGAATGTGAAAATCTCGTGTTACTAACATTATGAAATTTGCGGTGTTGTTGTAGCCGTGTTGGTCCCAGGATACGAGAGAGACAAGGTGGGTGAGGTAATAGCTTTTATTGGACCAACTTCTGTTGGTGAACGAAACAACTTTTGAGCTAAACAAAGCTTTGTGTAGCTCAAAAGCTTGTCTCCTTCAGCAACAGAAGATGGTCCAATAAAAGCTATTACCTCACCCACCTTGTCTCTCTAACATTATGAGGAACCTCTACCGTAAATGAGAGTGATGCAGAGGGCAGA